ATGGTTATGACATGAACGAATAATGTCGATAAGAATACCGAGTGTGCGAGCATGATACTCAGCAAGGAGACACCTGACTACCAGGACGGTCCTGGCAGGACCTCACATTCTAGGATCATTGCACTCATCATGAGTGACTCATGAGATAATGGGTCATGGTATATATCCCCGGAATCCCTCCAGTTTAGAGAAGTGACTTCTCTGATTACTCCAGAGGGGTCGCTCAGCAAATCCTGTAGAAATACTGACCGACATAGGCTGAGGCGCTGCTAGGGTGGCTCTGCCAAGGTGGACCCCGCACGACATACAATCGATAAGGCTTGTTGGCACCGAACAAACACGTGTCACGTGCGGATGCTAGAGTCGCACTGATGCACACAGAGTGACACAGCTCAAGGCTGACATAATGCTCAGCTAATGCCTGACTATAGCGTATGACAGGCTCTGTATCCGCGTGGCCAATTCCTCATGGAAACCTCGCGATTCAGTTATTATCCTTTCATAACGAAAGTATAATGAGCACTGGAAATCATAGGGCGTTCAAACAAGTATGGTTTGCAAACCACGACAATCGGTTTGAGGTGCCCAATCACACCTCAATCCGTCGCACAGTTCTGGGCCCCCAATGGGGGCACTGCGGAGGGGGGGCACCCAGCTGTCATCGATAAAAGTAGTCGATGACAATAGTCACTACTGATGTGCAGTTAGGATGGCCGCTATTTCATTTTCTAAGTCGTTGCTCATTCTGGCCATTTTCCTCAGTGTGATCCTAGATGGTCACACGAAAATCAAAGATTGCCCCACGCATACCTGAACCGCTTGATACTTGCGTGTGGTAGCTCGTCCGATGCAGCTGATTTGGATCTTAACCCTCCCCGTTTACACTTGTGTCAGAAGCTCTCGGATTGTTCAACATCATAGGTCCCGGATGCTTATCGTGTCACGCAAGCTTCGCGCGTTTGCTGCTGTGTGTTGTTACAACACTGTTGTATACTGATTCGGGCGCAGTATGTCTATCTTGATTCATGATGAGGTCTACGGTGACGTCGTTGCTGTTTGCCCAAGCTTCACCGCTATGGGCGCATCTCATGAGCAAGGCTTGAGTACGGTTTCCATGTCGTGAAGACATTGTCGTCCCCTAGTTTTAGGGATAACAACACCAAAAGTCCGTCTCTGAGTCGAAGCTGATAGCGCCCACATTGTTATTTGGACTACACGATGTGATTTGCACCCACACAGTTGAGCTTGTTGAGGATATAGAATCGGTCAGCGTGACTGATGATATATCAGCTCCTCTTTAGTCCTGCAACTCCGTAGAATTGGAAAGCACGAAGTGCTGGTAGGAACAATGGTCCTCACAGTGAGGACCTCACTCCATTCTGACTGTCTGCCTTGTATTTTCTATTTCTATATGTTGGTATCTTTGAATGTCTCCGGTTGGGGGAGTCCCTCAACCGACTTACTCTGCCTTGTTTTGCCACATTGTTCCCTTCTCAGCGTAAGTAGTGCAAAGTCTAGCATTCATAGTCAATCTTATTTGAACCATAGCAGTGAGTCGGGTTTTTGCAATGAGATAAGGAAGTTTGGGGTGGAGAATTGTTCATATGAGATTCCGAATTTTGACCACAAAATCAATCGATCAGTGCACGCATGCACACGCGGAACGGGTGACGGCGGATAATCTTGCCACTTATATCCCTGACTATCAGCAGTTACGACCATAATGTGGTACGCCGTCAAGATACATTATAGAAAGGCCACCTTCCGCTGCCGCATAGACCTCGAACATGAGACATGCCGTGTGGAAGACTTGAAGCGCATGGCCAGGACAGCTTGGCCAGATCTCGTTGATAGAGATATCAGACTTATGTATTACGATGATGAAGGGGCTATCTGTCCGCTTATTGAGGAGTCTTGGTCTGATGCGGTGGAGCTGGGGGTTGAGGCTAATCCTTCGAAAGAATGGCACAACAGGCTCAAGCTTTATGTGAAACTCCGCGAAGATGATGACGAGTCAATTCTGAACAAGCTCACTGCTGACGTCACAGATGGTGGTGGCGCTAGCGGGGAAGATTCGAAGCGCCGAATCACGGTTCTGCTCTGTGATTGCGAGAAGGTTAAGAAGCTCTTCGAAAACTCGCGTAATGTCACAGTTAGCTTTGGTCCAAAATCGAACGACACCAACGAGGACGGAGGTGAGGATCGCCACCACATGAAGTGCGTGTGTGAATCAGGATGTAGGAATCTGTTTCAGGGAGTAGCTTGACCACCGAAGAAAGCTGGCAGGTCCCCGTCGAGGAGTCGCAGTGACATCAGTGAAAGTATGTATCTTCATTCGTATCTGTTCCGATTCTCTCTCATCGTAGATGCCGAGACATGTCGTCAGATGCTCTGCTCATTAAGGTGTGTGAAGTCATAGAATTGGCAGATGTCAAGGTTGATAGATAGAGTTATCCTATAACTCTACCTTATCTTGGAGTTATTGGTTATCATGCAGCTATAAGCATTCGATTATTTCATTTCTGATCATCAATATAACTATTTCACAGCTTGCTTCGAGACAAGTCTTGCGTTAAATCCGCCACTTTCTACTAATGTGGCAGCAGTGACCGGAACTTCCAGCGTTACTTAGCGAATATACCGCAATGCCCGAAGAACTGCTTGATATGATGATCTCAACGCAAGAGCAACTTTGTCACATGATTCCATGATTCATGAGTACCGAGTTAGAATGTATGGAATGGTGTGTGAAGGAATAACTGAGATGACGGCGCAAGTCGTGAATGTGACGCGATAGCGTGAATACGATCGAGTCTATCGAATATCCGTATAACACACCTTGCTTGGAAATGTCAAACATGCTGGGTAGAATCACACAGCAAGGGCCATCTAACTCAAGTCACGCTTGATCGTCACGCTCAGCATACAGAGAGGCCGCATGGCTGGTCTCCACTCTGACACACTGGTTGGTCCAGCCAGTACTTGCAGTAACTATACTCGTTGTTTAGAGCCTTGCAATAGGTGTCGCAACCATCAGAGGTAGTTGCGGTCGAATCAGAGTCACCCCCAAACAAGGGAGATGTTAAAGTCGTCTGCACAGAGGAAGTATCCGATGCCAGCGTTGTGGACGATGCTGGTATCGTGGTTGGCGTCGGCGTGGTAGAAGCTGAGACAACGGACGTCGTGGTGTCGCAGACTGGAGGACCACATGGCTGGTCGCCGCTGAGGCAAACCGCAGGGTTCTGCCAGTACTTGCAATAGCTTGACTCGTCGTTGAGATCTTGACAATAAGAGTCGCAGGCTGGTGATGGTCCACCGTGTTGGTCTCCAACCAGATCATAGGTCGAAGTACCAATGATTGGGGCCAAGCAAATCGTAGCATCACCACATGGTTGACCTCCGGAATGGCAAACAGCAGGAGACTGCCACCACATGCAGTAACTCGATGGACCGTTGAGGAGCATACAGTATCGATCGCAAACCTCGACATCATCCGGTGACGGTGTTGGCAGAGTCGCAACACTTGCACCATCAGGAACTATGAGAGAAGTTATGGCCCAAGTCACAAGCTTAAGAAACATCCTCACCATTACAGACATCAATCGAACATGGCTGCTCCCCACCCTGACAAGCTCGATGAGATAGCCAATACTTGCAGTAGCTCGATGGGCCATTGAGGACTGAAAAAATGAGTACATGTCACTTCTTCGAGGCAAATGAACTCACATTGGCAGTAAAAGTCACATGTGTGGGGGTCCTCGGTAGTAGCTGTGGCTGCCGGAGTAGTAGGACTAACGCTTTGAACCCTTCTAAGTTCACTTGAGCAGGATGCGAGCCAAGCTGTGCTCAATATCATAGCGAGGCTAGGGATCATTATTATGCTCGTCGGAAGAAACAAGCCAGAAGCATATCAAGTACACAGGGAGTCCATAATAGAGCCCTGCAATTCGAAGATATCGTGCGTAGGTTGGGATATCGTCAGCGCGCAGCATTCAGGATACACTTCATGAGTATCTTTCCGTGTCAGG